AGAGGCTAGCCTGATCTCAAGAAGTAATCCTTTCCAAATGAGGAGCTGCAACTGAAAAAAACCAATTCTTTGAATCTTGTAGATGATAGTCCTTAAGAGAAGAAACCTTCTCCTTCTATTTTACTTGAACTTATTGGATGAGCAGAAGCTATTGGGAGTAGGTGGTCCTGAAGATATCTTAAGTCCTGAGCCATTAAGTACCTTAAATTGCAATCAGCATTTTGAATTGTACCTTGAAACCAGCTGGCAGCCAATGCAGCTAAATAAACTAGGAGCATAATTTGGAAGAAGTTTGGCACTCTCATAACTACCCAATGTTTTCCACACAATTTGTAACAGAAAACTGTGGCCATTCTTGGCTTTAGGGTACATGCAGTTGTATAGTGTGTGAACTTGCAAACAAGTATTTATTAAAATACAATGCCCATTTTATTAAAATAAATTTGATAAAAATCAAAAAAATCTGATTAAATCAAAAAAATCTGATTTAAATTAAAAAATCCATTTTTTTTATTTTTAAAAAAAAATTATTATCCACCCTGTATGTAATGTTAAGGATGAGGTAGTGATGAAATAACATGCTTTAAATTAACATGCGGACACAAACAGTGGAATAGATGGGAACATGTGAATGTTATAGGCTTACTGCTTAAATGCCATTGTGTTGCAATATAGTTAGAACAAATACATTTAAAAAGGACTATTTTATTAGCTTCCAAAATAATATCCATATAAATTTGTTAAATGCTCAGTAACTTTAGCTTTGCTTTAAAAAAAATAGATATAGGGATGTTGTATTTGCTCTTTCAACTAGCAAATTAGCAAAGGCTATTAAGGTTTCTGACAATCTTATTTATTAATTTGTAAAGTTTTAAAATAAAAAAAGACATTTCTAACTTGACTACTATTTTGACTTTTTTTAAAAAGTTTGGCTGATGAGAAATCCTATGTAGAGGAACTAACAAACATTCCTTTATTTTATTTCCTTCATAGAACTTAACATTGTAATGTAACAACACATTGTTGTTGTTAGTTGCAAAGTCGTGTCCGACCCATCGCGACCCCATGGACAACGTTCTCCAGGCCTTCCTGTCCTCTACCATCTTCTGGAGTCCATTTAAGCTCACGCCTATTGCTTCAGTGACTCCATCCAGCCACCTCATTCTCTGTCGTCCCCTTCTTCTATTGCTCTCAATCTTTCCCAGCATTAGGCTCATCTCCAGTGAGTCCTTCCTTCTCATTAGGCGGCCAAAGTACTTGAGTTTCAACTTCAGGATCTGGCCTTCTAAAGAGCAGTCAGGGTTGATCTCCTCTAGGACTGACCGGTTTGATCGCCTTGCAGTCCAGGGGACTTGCAGGAGTCTTCTCCAGCACCATAGTTCAAAGGCCTCAATTCTTTTGCACTCAGCCTTTCTTATGGTCCAACTTTCAGAGCCATACATTGCAACTGGGAAAACCATGGCCTTGACCAGTGGTTCTTAACCTTTTTGAACGAATCGCCCCCTTGAGCCAATGAGGAAGTTGTCATCGCCCCCCTCCCCCAACATAACCTCTCAATCACAACATAGGAAATAATTCTTCAATTTATGCAAACACTTTTTTTGTTTCCTTTAAAATTGTCATCAGGACATATCAATGCAAATAATTTATTTCCAGTCTTTTTCCCAT